ATTATTACAGTAAATAATTGTAAATTACAACTGCAGTTTTCTCTTTTAATATTCCGACTTTGCTTTGTAGCCAGCTCACCTGATCTTGGTTTGCATAATACTTGCTCGATTTATGCTGGTTGTCACCTAAGGTCATTGGACCGAATTTCCATTGTCTTGTGTATTAGCTCCGCTGTCAATGAAGTCAGCAGAAGCAATTCATATTACTGGTAGCCTATCGTTGTCTGTTACTTCAACTTTTGTTTGACTTCTTTCTATAAAATCTAGCCATATGCCTTTTTAATACTTGACTGGATGTAACCTTTGGTCAAGTGATTCACCCTCAGATTTGTTCTTCTTCTGATAACTAAAATTCTCTGCATTTGTTTGTAATTTTGGGGAAGAACTGCTATTTTTGGCGTTTTAAAATTGGGTAGCTTGATTGCTTTGTTAGATATGTAGGTACCTTGGTGGTGGGAGGCTGTTTCACATATGTTCATTTTGTGATCTTAAATTTTTTTAATTTCTGTCATTATTTGTCTCCAAAATGTCTGGTCCTTTGCTTTGTTAGTTCATATGTACATTGTAGGTACCTTGGTTGACTTGTCAGATTTGTAAATTATGTGATAATATTTTCAATCCATCTATATTCTGGACTAAATTGCTAATTATAGCATATTTGAGAAAAAAAACTTGAAATCAAATTATTTTAAAAGGCCAATGATCATAAATGTTGCAATCGTGCCACCGTGGGGTATAGTCATCAGAAAATATCTGGTCGTAATACATCACACAAAGTTTTTTTTGGTTGGCTACAAACCCATGAATGTAAATAAGCATGACTTTTATTACCGGTATGTCTTGCATGGTTATTTCATTTGGTGCACATGTTGACTGAGTTGACAATATCATTGTGCGAGGGACTATAAATTATCTGCTAATTTATGAGAGCAAAATAATGCAAATTTATTAATAACCACCCAATATTATGAATGGATTTTTCATTTCCTTTCTTCATTTGTTAACGTATAATAGCTCAAGCTTCTTGACCCTTCCCCAATGTTTTTGCTGTTACATGTATGCGAGTCTGCAATAGGAAGTTTGTAAAGTTTTTTTTTCTTTATTTGATAACTGAAAAGAGCAGGTGAATTTTTCTTTTATACAGGTTGCTGATGTTATTCCCCAGCCTGATTAAGTTTTGGAAATGATGACTTCTATCAAGGTTTGCGCTAGTGTCTCAGCAGGACGAGTAGCACTTACACAATTTTAAGAAATAGAAATTTGACTCTGGATAACTTAATTGGAGATTGGACCCCCAGCATGCCTGAAAAACTGGGATCTTCTTCAATAATTGGAGTCCGGGAAGCAAAATATGGGGTTAACGCAATCCCTGTTTAATCTATTGATAAATTAGCTTGGACTCGCTTGTCAATTATTATTCTCTTAGACAGATTTCATTGAGCATCACATGACAAAGTCGTAGCATCTTTTCTCGCATTTTGGAGTGTGAGTGGATGTGAGTGGGGAAGATGTGTTTTGAGGATTGAACGATTAAAAGAAAAGTGTATTTCATGCAGAAGAGATGGGGAGGGAGGTGCCAATAATCAAGTTCATCCCAGTCACCCTTTTCATAAAATTAACGTGTGCTTGAGTCCATGTGAAGCTTCTTACAAGATTGTAATTTTGAGCAATCAGAGTTGCTTGTGGTTTCGCGACATCAAATTCTGCCTTGTATATATCCTGCTACCTTAACTGAGGTGGTTGTTTTGCATTCTAATCCAAGATGGCTGATGATTTAAAAATAAATATAATTAATACCAACATTTTACCT